TGGTTTGTTTTCCATGGCTTGCTCGGCCTGCTTTCTTATAGAACCCAAGGCTACCAGCCTAAGAGTGGCCCCACCACAATGAGCCAGGTCCTCTCATAGCAATCATTCATTAAGAAAATGCCCTACAGGCTTGCCTACTGCCCAAGTCTTATGGAGGCATTTTCTCAACTGAGGCTCCCTCCTCTCCAGTCTCTCCAGCTTGTGTCAAGTTGACATGAAACCAGCACATGGAGTTATAGACAGTTGTATAAGTTGCCATGTAGGTGCTGAGACATGACCCTGGGCCCTCTCCAAGAGCAGCAAGTGCTCTTAAATTAACAACTGGGCGATTTCTCCAGCCCTGCTTTGTGACTTTCGAAGTTACTGAAAATTAAGACATTTGAATCATATGTAGTGAGTATAAAAAAATAAAAATCTCCCTCGTTCCCCTTACTTGCTGAGGTTTTAGTTTTAGTTTTTATGTATATAGGTATTTTCACCAGCATGTTTGTCTATGTACCACGTTCATGCCTAGTTGGCCGAATAGGCTAGAAGGTGTCAGACATTCTGGAACTTGAGCTACAGATGGCTGGGAGCTTCTTTGCTGGCAACTGAACCTGAGTCCTTTGGAAGAGGAGCCAGTGCTCTTAACCAGTGAGCCACCTCTCCAGCCCAGTTTTAATCTTTAGATGACTGGTTGACATTTTAGTTCTCTCTGTGCTGGATTTCAGGATAAACTTAAGGTAAAACTTTTTCCTGGATCTTCTATGCGCCTGTATCCTCTCTGATTATGCATAGTAGCTGTCTACTTTGCTCCATACAGTTGCTTTTGAATGTCCTAATCTTAGGTTCCAAATAGAGTAAAAGGGAAACAATACAGATGCTATTCCCTTAAAACTCCCAAAAGTTCTGTCAAAAATGGAGAGTCAAACAATGGTAGGTAGCCTGTGCTTACACCTCAGTGATCAAAAAAAAAAAAAAAAAAAAAAAAAGAGGGGGGCATGCACAAGGCCCGGGTTCAATCCCCAATACTGGGGAAAAGAGAGAAAGAGATAAAAGAAGAAAGAGGTCAAACATTCATTTTACTTAGCTGCTCTGCTTTGTCACATCCTTGTGGCCATGATGCACTGAAAACTCTGAAACCATGAGTCAGGATAAGCTGAAAACTCTGAAACCATGAGTCAAGATAAGTCTTTCCAAAATAAGAATTACAAGCAAGGGCTGGAGAGGTAGCTCAGTGGTTAAGAGCATTGTCTGCTCTTTCAAAGAACCTGGGTTTGATTCCCAGCACCCACAAAGCAGCTCGCAACTATTTGTAATTCCAGTTCCAAGGGGACTAATACCCTCACACCAATGCACATTAAACAAAAATAAATAAATAAATAAGTAAGTAAATAAATAAATAAATAAATAAATAAATAAATAAATAAGGAAGGAAGGAAGGAAAGAAAAGAAAGAAAGAAGGAAGAATTAAGAGCAAACAATTACAGTATTATATGTTCAGCAGTGGGTAGAATAGCCATATGGAAGAAGAGCAAAGTGGAGAATTGGACATCACAAAAACAACTATATTTAACATACATGTATGAACTATCCCATACAGTAACCACAGAATACACATTCTTCTCAAGCACATATGAGAGTCAATAGGAGACAACATTTTAGATCATAAAACAAGACTCAATGTATTTAAGTCCACATAAAGGCTCTTCTCTCAATAGGATGAAGTTAGAACAAAAAGAGGAAAACTGAAAATTTCACAAACATGTAGAAACAAAACCATCTGGTGAGAGAAGAAAGCCAAAGGGCATTATAAAATACTTAGAAATAAACAAATATGATATACATACTAAAATTTATGAGCTATAGTTATGACAGTCATCAGGAAATTTAGTTTTAAGTCGAAACATCAAAGGTGGGTGTGGTGAAGTAGATGGTACATATTTGTAATCCCAGTACTTCAAAAGCAGAAGCTGGAGGATTACAAATTCAAGGCAAAGCTTTGGCTAAATAGTGAGATCAGGCTAATCTGGACTAGACTCCTTTTCAAAATACAAAAACATAACGAAAGAAATGAACCAACAATAACAAAGCACTCAGATCAGTAACATAAACCTTAGCCAGGTGTGGTGGCGCACACCTTTAGTCCCAGCACTATGGATTAGGAGAAGCAGAGGCAGGCAGATCTCTGTGAGTTCAAGGCCAGCCTGGTCTACAAATCAAGTCCAGAACAGCTAAGGCTACAAAGAGAAACCCTGTCATGAAAAAACAAAACAAAACTAAAAAACCTAATCCTTCCACTTCAAGGATCTATAAGATATAGATACTATATATTATATAATATTATATTATATAATATTATATTATATAATATTATATTATATTATATTATATTATATTATATTATATTATATTATATTATATTATATTATATTATATTATATTATATTATATTATATTATATTATATTATATATGCTGCAAAGTAAAGTAGGCATTGTGGTGATTGGCCTTAAATCTCTGTGAATCTGAGGCCAGCTAGGCTATAGTAAGAGACCCTGTCTCAAAACAAACCAAACAAAACACAGAAGCAAAGCTAACACAAAAATTTAAAAAACAAAGAAAAGTTAAACAAGAAATTTTTAAAAGGTTGAAAAGAGCAAGAGAGAAATCAACAAAAATTCTGAAAAAAGACCAACAAAACGAACAAACCTTTAGTCAGACTAATGAACAAAAGAGATAACATACAAATAAGTATGATAAATGAGACTAGGGATAAATTACTATCAACATTATAGAGGTTTTTTTTAAATGAGAGTATTATAATTATGTATCAAAAAATTAGCAAAAAAGAAACAGGCATGTTCCTTGAAACACACAACTGACCTAAACTGGCTCAACAGGAAAATCAATAAAGTACAGCTATTGACTTAGCAATCAAAATTTCCCAGCCAGGAAGTTCCCACATCATACAATCTAATCAGTGAAGTCTACTAAATATGTAAAGAAAGAAGTAATAGCTTTTTTTTTTCCTGAAATGTTTGCGAAAATTTGAGGAATGAATGCTTACTAACACATTCTGTGCATCCAGCAATTGCTGACACCAACACCGGACAAATGCACTCTAGGTAAATCAAAATGAGATAAATATCACTGAAGACTAGATATAAAAATAATAACCAACAAAATATAAGCATACTAATTCCAAAAGCATATTGAAATAATTTCAGCATGACCAAGTAGGATTCAGCCTACTCCTGGATAGAAGGTGGTTCAACAAAATCAATCAAAGGAAGACATGGATACAAGTGGGGCGTAGGAGCAGCTCAACTGATGCAGAGGCAGCATGTGTTCATGACAGCATGTCTCCGAAAGTGAGAAACTGGAGAAACATATATTCAATAACCTAAGGCAGAAAAAAATGTTCTCTTAAAATCAGGGGTAAAACAAGGATGTCCACTTTTCCTTTACAATTACTACCCCTGTTCAACAATGGACTAATTGCCAGAACTGGTAAACAAGGAAAGAAAAAGCACCCTGTTGAAAAAGAAGTAAATAACTTTTGCTCATAGACTACATCAACCTATAGAAAATCAAATGAGGCCACAATAGGGCCCAATGAACTAATATATTAACTGCAAGGGTTATGCAAACACATGAAAAATCAGTGTTCTTAAAAAATAATTTTTAGGCACCAGCAATAAGCAGTATGAAAAGAAAATTAAGGAAGCAAACCCTGATAAAAATGTGTGAATGAACCAAGAATGCAGAAAACTAGAAAGCATTTCTGTGGGCTGGAGAGATGGCTCAGAGGTTAAGAGCACTGGGCTGTTCTTCCAAACGTCCTGAGTTCAATTCCCAGCAACCACACGGTGGCTCACAACCATCTATGATGAGATCTGGTGCCCTCTTCTGGTGTGCAGGTGTTTGTGCAAGCTGAGCATGGTATACATAATGAAAGAATAAATCTTAAAAAAAAAAAAAAAAAAAAAACATTTCTGAAAGCAAATAATACAGACCTAAGGAAAGGGGCATCTTGCGTTTATGGTCAGGAAAACATAAAAATTTTAATGATATCCAAAACAACCAAAAGATTCCATAACCCCCCCCCCTTTCCAAAAGCCTTTTTCCAAGAAATAGCAAAAGTCAATCCTCAAATAAATACGAAAGTAGGGCTGCAGAATGTAGCTCAGTAGTAATTTACGTAGCGTGAAGAAAGCACGAGGTTCAATTCCCGGTACCAAATTCAAATGGAAGTGAAAAATATCTTGAAAAGCCAAAACAGTCTTGAATAAAGATGGACTATTCACACCTAATAAATGCAAAGCTACCTGCAAAGTCACGGTAATTAAAGCAGTATGGTATTAACACATGGATAAACATATATCACCGTAATGCAGACAGCTCAGCAAAAAAAAAACTCTTAAAAAGGGAATTGATTTTTCAACAAGTCCCCTCAATGGGCAAAAGGTCCACCTTTTCAACAGATGTTGGGGAAAATGTATATCCACAAAAGAATATAGGGAATTAAAGCAGGAATACAAAGGCACTTAGCTTAAAGCTTGGTAAATGATTAAAATGGTGATTATTTGGATGTTTCGTAATAATAACGCCCCCAAAGGGTAAATGAAATAAACGGAGAGAACGCAATAAAGAAGTGGACTGGCAAAGCGAAGGGGATTTCGAAAGATATTCAGGTTTTTTCTTCGGGAAGAGGACCTGGATGATTCGTTCACCAACCAAGAACTATAGTTGGGACTGGGCATGAACTTCATCCAAAAAAGCACGCTAAACACTGGACAACAGGAAATTTCGTCTGAGTAGACAGTCTGTGAACGGGCTCAGGACAGTTTGTGAACGGCCAGGGTACCCGAAGCTACAGAAGGCAAGAGACTGCTCGGGGAGACACAGAAGAAAGAATCCCTCGGAAACACCAACATCCACAAGGGTGGGGGACCAACAGCTTTCTGCGTTTCGGGCTCCCACGCAGCGAGTCCACATCCCTGGGCGGGAGGGACTTACCACGGCTTGCTCGCAGACAGGCTGTTCAGGCCCATGCAGGTGGCGGCCGGCCGGAGCCCTGCGTGACCGCGGCCGCGGAGAACAGCGCGGGGGCCCGCCTCCCACGGAAGAGCCGCAGCCGCAGAGCGCACCACACCGAGCCGTCCCTGCGCGGCCCGACTCCCCGGCCTCGGCCCACGCCCCGCCCACAACGCGGAAAGTCCCTCTCGGGGGCCCGTCGTCCTCCGAGCATTCCGATTGGCGGAGATGACCATGGGACCTGGAAGTTGTCTTTGTCCAGCCAGGGCTGCCCTTCCGGTTCCGTTGGGTCCCCCTTTGGCTCGGGTTGCCTGCCCCTCCCCCTTCCCGGAGCCCCGAGGGGCCGGAGCTCCTGGCATTGCCAGATCTAGATGGTGGCCTTGTCCCCGGGTCTGTAAGTTCGGAGGCAACCGGAGAGCCGGACTGGGGTACGGGGTCCCTGGAAATGGAGCCCCCGTGGGGACCTGGATCGGCCACAGCCTGCCCTGGAATGGGGGTCGAAGAGCTGGTCTAGGCCCCCGGGGACGTGAGCCGTTGGACCGGCCCATGCTGCATCCTACCCTCTTCCCCTTCCCGAATCTGCAGTAGGGAATCTCAGGATGCCCCAAGGACCGCCTCCTGGGACCCTCTACCTAGGGCCCTGTGGCTGGCCAGGACGCAAGACCCTGGCATTTTGTAAAAAGTGCTGGAGTTGAGGCCGGCAGAACACTGAACGGCGGGAGCTAGCCAAGGCCAAGGCCTTCAGTGCCAACCGCGAGACTACTGTAAGTGTCAGGTTTTGAAGGGTTTTACCCCTGCCCAGCTGCCGGCTACTGCACCTTTTGTATTACCGGTGCTGTGCCAAGCCCTGGAGGTTCGTCAGATATCCAGTGTTCGTGGTCAAGTTTGGAAGCGGTATCTGGATAAATTGATGGCCCCTGTGAGGGTGGGGGTTTGCAGTTGGTTGCTTCCATCATCTGCTCTAGGGACGGTTGCCCGGAAGCCTGTAGGAAGAGCGTGGCCCCTGAGTCCTACGTGGTCAGAACAAAGTGTGGAAGTACCTCTTAGGTAAAAGGAAAAGTTGTGCCGCTACCGAGAAGTAGCAGACTCAGCACGGGTTATCTTTTCGAAGCTTTTTGAGCAGGAAACTGATACGGTCAGTTTTGTACTGCAGAAAGTAATTTTTTTAAACTCTGTGAAGCCAAGAGAATAGAAACAGTTGAATCTGGGCTAAATTCTAGGTACTTCTCTTGAAGATTATTTTGAAAAAAAAAAAATGAGATCATTCTGGTGAGCTGCAATAAAATCTCAGAGCGTTATGGTATCGTTACTAGAAAGGAGGCAAGTGCTAATGTATCATAGATATTTATACACCGAAGGAGAGAACAAAAAAACCCAAGTCCTAGAATTTAGGCAGTTGACATTTGAATAGTGATGCCATAATCAGAAATAAAACCACAAGGCTAGTGAGAATTACAAATTCAGTTTTTGTGCTGAATTCTTGTCTAAAGCCACATGTAGCTGTCCAGCTTAAGAGTTGGGAACACAAATGTGGAGATCAGCCTCAGCATTGTGGCTACAGGTAAAACATTTGAATTTGGCATGTGGGCAGTGCCATGAAAAGAGCTGGCATCAAGAAGAGGGCACTGAAAGGAAGGTGATTCGAAGGATGATGGCTACATTAATGAAGGAGAAAAGCAGATTTGAGCCCACAAGAAGAGGCAGAAAAGAAAGTCTCAGATACAGGGTCGAAGCTTCCAAGGTGACCAGATAGCAGAAGGAGAGATTTTGAAGAGTCCATTGAGTCATTCCCAGCTGCTGGGGAAGGAGAAAGAAGCATCTTCTCTATTAACAGGCTAGAAAAAGCAAGCTTAGTAGATGAGGTAATATAAAATACCAGAGGCCTCAATTGGTTTGATGGTAAATGGGAAAAAATGTGAAGGCTTTATTTGTTCATTTACATAACACGTTTAAAGAGCATATAACAAGCACCATTCTAAACTTTTGAAAATGAACTAATGGGCTGGAGAGATGGCTTAGTGGTTATAGCTCTTGCAGAAAATGTGGGTTCAGTTCTCAGCACCCACATAGTGCCTCAGAACCATCATAACTCTAATTTCAGGGAACCTGATACCTTCTGACCTCCACAGACAGTAGGCTTGCAAGTGAAACACATACATGCATGCAGGCAGTCACTCATAATATGAAATAATTAAATCTTCTTTAATGATGAACTTATTTAGTTTTCCTTAGCAACCCAGTTATTATTGGTTGACAAGAAAGCTGAAACACATAGGATAAGAAATTCACCCATGGTCATAACTCTGAGTAAGTGGCTGAGTAGAGTGTTAACCTTAGAACTACGATCCCAGAGTCCATGCTTTACTCACTGTAGTATGTTGTGACTAGGGGCTGGAGACATGGCTCAGCGGTTAAGAGCTCTGGCTGCTCCTCCAGAGGACTCAGGTTCAATTCCCAGCACCCACATGGCAGCTCACAATTATGTTGTGACTAGATAGGAGTCAAGGAGTAGGAACATTTAATCAAGATAGGCTTCTTGACTAAAACAAAGAAACCTGCAAGGATAGCAAGGTTGAGAAGAGGTAAGTGATGAGTTTATGTTATATTGTATGTATGGTTTTTTCCTTTTGTCCTAAGGTCCTCTTCTACTCTATGCCAACTTACCTGCACTTCTTCTACTTTAATGTTTTCATTTTCAATTTACTTACCATTTTCAATGAGGTTTCTTCTAAAGCTTCAGATGTACTACCAACCAGCTACTCTGGAGCCACAAAGGCTCTCTTGACACATTTTAATGACCAGCTTTATGATCATACCCTCTAGTATTCTCTAGATTATGTAATGGCACTCGAAGATATCCAGGCATTAGGCCAAATATTTTAGACTTATTTTGATTATCTCTTGTTCTCTATCTTGATGAGCAAGATCATTGGCTTGGGGATTGTTTTAAATTGTTTTTAAAATTTCTCTGTATAGTCACAATCTCTGTCTTGATCTGTTAAAACGATAGCCTTGTAAAAGGCTGTTCACTAAGCCATTCCCTTTATATCTTTATCTTCAAATTACAGAATCTTGGGTAATGCAAGAGTATAAGCATCATCATTTTTAATATTAAATTCCTAGCACAGGTATTTTGAAGTATATTAGGTTGAGATTAAATTTGATTAAATTTAGTAATGAGGATAGAGACTTAGGAATTCTTCCCATAGGGAAGGAATGAAATTGAGAAAACAGATAGGCTTTGTGGAATTAAATCTTGAAAAGGCATAATAAGAAACCAAAACCAGAGCTCTTAAGTCTACATTTACCTTTGCACAATTTAGTGAAGCATCAGAAACAGACTAGTAAAATAATGGTTTTAAAAAATTAAACTAAGCGTAAAGCTGAGGGGACAGCTCAGTGGTGAAGAATACTTGCTCCTTTTACTGAGTCCTGGGGTTTAGTTGCCAGCACCTACATTTTGTGGTTTACAGTCACCTATAACTTCAGCTCCAGGGCATCCTTTTAGCCTCCATAGGCACTTGCATGCACATACAAATAGACATACAGACATATTAATAAAAATAAAACGAGTCTTTAAAAAACACGCCTGGGATGAGTAAAGTAGGATAAAGACATGAGATAAAGTCAAGAATAAAGGATTAATAGTGTTAGGACAGAAGCAGCTTGTCATTATAGTCCCCTGTACTTGACAAAAATTTGGTTTTAATTTGTACTTTTTGCTTGTAGATATAACTCTTTTACTGAAGTATAACTAAAATGTACAAAAGTCTACAGATCATAATGTAATGCTCCAAAGATTTTATATATTGTTTCATAGCTTGTGCACAAGTTTGAGCTCTAACAATTAGCATTTTCTTTTTTTTAAGATTTATTTATTTACTTTATGTATATGAGTGTTCTGCCTGCATGTACACACGCACACCAGAAGAGGGCATCAGATTTCATTATAGATGGTTGTGAGTCACCATGTGGTTGGTGGGAATTGAACTCAGGACCTCTGGAAGAGCAGATGATGTTCTTAACCACTGAGCCATCTCTCTGCCCCCCACCCCCTTTGTTTTTTTTCCAGACAGGGTTTTTCTGTGTCACAGCCCTGGCTGTCCTGGACTATACTATACCAGGCTGCCCTCCAACTCAAAGCGATCCACCTGCCTCTGCCTCCTGAGTGCTGGGATTAATGGCGTGTACGTCTACTGCCTGGCTAACAGTGTTTTCTGTCTCAGCATATTGTTTATGTTCTCAGCTCCATTTTCCTAAGGTAAAACGTAGACAATAATAACCTAAGAGTAGAGGTTTTCAGGACTAAATGAATTAATTTAGGTAAAGCATTTAGCAGTGTATTTGGAATATGACAGGAATTCAGAAGACATTGGGTATCGTTTTTGTAAAAGGAATTAATCTAGTTAGATGATTATTGTATGTTTATATTACTTGTTTGGGTGTGTATTGCATACATTTCCTTTTATATTACCTATTTGTGCATATACGCATGATACTGGGATTACCCTAAGATTCTACACGTGCTAGTACATACTCTACTACTGAGCAGTTAATTATATAAAAGAATTTTTTCCTTTTTTTTTTTTTTAAAGGAAAGTATTTCAAATTTGGTCCTACATGATCTAAAGAGTTCTCAGGGTCCTCAACAGAGAATGAATGATACTGATAATCATCTCTGTTATCGGCCATTAATAATTTCACAGTGATATCAAGGAGTCACTGTGATGTCATTTTTTTAAATGAGCTACAAAAACTGTAATAAACAGTTCATCCATGTGTGCAAATAACTAATGACTTCTTTGCAAAGGAGACAAATGACAGGAAATGACTACTGGCTAACATGTGTGACCGGGGATAAACTATTAAAGGGATAATTGGCCTAATCGATATTAGGAAAAACTTCCTAAAGTAAACAAGCGACTTTCCTTAACAGCAGCAGAAACATCAAAGCATGCTTTTTCTTGAGACCCCTGTTTGGCCATTCCTATTGCTAAGTCTCTTGAGAACTCATGAGTCAGATGTGAGACTGAACTCCAGCTCATCTGTAGAGAAACAGAGAACATGTTTCCCCCAACATGTGTGTCTTCAAACATTCTGGGTGCTGCCCATACTCCAGCTGGAAAAATGTTCATTTTTGACTATAAC